CTATCTACTTAACGGGGACCATAACCCCAAACCCTATATTCTATCTACTTCAGGGGGACTAGAGGCCATTCCCTGGGTCTACCTTTCACCCCCAGTCCTAGACGCTAGACCCAAAGCGCTGAACCCCAAGGTCCTACCTAAACCCCCTAACCCTAAAGAAACCAAACCCCAAAGGTCCTAAAACCTCAACCCTAAAATCTAAACCCCTAAACCCTCAACCCTACACCCTAATCCCCAAACCCTAAACCCTCTTTCGACTCTAGGGAGGAGGTGATGGACGGGAAGCACGGAACTTTTTCGGTTTAGGGCTGTAGAGAAATATACGGGGATATATACGGAGATATAGAGATATGGACGGATATATAGGATTATATAGGGAGATGTAGTAATATATAGGGAAGTAGGGATATGTAGGCTCATTACCCTCAATAATGGAGAATCAAATGGAAAAGGAACTGGAAACTGAAATGGAAAGCGCTCACATATTTGGGCTTGAAGTAAAAAGGCATCGAAGCCTAGGTAGATGTATCCTCAAATGCTAGTGTTCTTCAAAAGAACAGTTAACACGGATCGTAGGATGTTACCTAGTTGTTGCTTGACTTTTTGCCTGACTAGATTAAAGCACACATCTACCCAGTAAAGCCCCCAGTCGCTTGGTGCGAGGCGATCTAGCAGCTTCTTCGAGACATAGACATCGTCCTTCCAAGGACGGCCACTGTCTGAACCTGGCTTCCAATACTCCAAACCGCTTGGGTCGGTGATTTGACAGGGTTGCGCATGTTTGGTCATCTAAGAAGTACCTGGGGGGCCAGGGGACTTAGTAACTACTTAATAACTGGGCTTCTAACCCTACTTATATTCCACCTAAATGGGCTTATAGGGGTTACCGCGATCATAAGTAGAGTTATAACCCCAAGTATAAGTAGTTACTAAGTCCCATGGGCCTCCAGGTATGATGAGATCATATTAAAACGGAAGCAGGGAAGAGGGCTCCATACTTTTCTACTGCAAGGTTGCTAAAGATGGAGGCGACACTTAAACCCTAAAGCCTACATCCAAAACCAAAAATCCTAAACCCTAAACCCTAAATCCTAAACCCTAAACCCTAGCTGCTCACATTGGCGGTCAGGCACGGAATGCCGGCCTCTTAGGAGCTACAATGCCTTTCAATTCGGGTGCGTACTCAAATGGCAGATCATCCCCATCCGAATTCCACAGGTTCTCCGTAAGCTGTCGCTCGTCCACTGACATCCCCTATGACTCCCCATGTGCTCCTCATCTTATCTCTGCTCATAGGTCCACCTCCTACCTCCAAATCAATTACCCCCGGAATTTCTCCCTTGATTGACCTTAATTAGGTCTGGCTATCCCTAAACAATTTGGAACCTTGGGTAGTATAGGGGGGATAGTAGGGAACCCATGATCTGTACATACCGACCTTTTCAGACATGCCGGAGTCGCAGAAGATGAATCCGAAGCCCCTTTCTGACCGGTCCACCTTGCACAGGAACGTCCGGACAAGAGCAATGGAAAATAACATGGAAACTACTATAATGGGTTATATAGGGGATATAATGGGGATGGAAAAGAAAATGGAAACTACTATAATGGGTTATATAGGGGTTATAATATAGAGTAATATTTGGGCCGAGTTTATACACATCTGCACGCGCAAGATGTATATACATTCCTCCAAGGACCAGCGGTACAGGAGGACATCCAAGAAGCGCATGATTCGAACTCTGGAGAATTGAAGGATCTAGGGTGCACGTCGCACACATCACAAGATAGGATTCAAGAACCAGGCCCATCAGAGTTGAGCTACAATAGCGTTCAGGGCTAAACCCTAAACCCTAAACCCTAAACCCAAGGCTTTAGGAGTTTATGGCTTCAGCTTCCTGGTCATTGTGTACCTTGCAGCCTGGCTTGAAACTGGAAAACTGGGTGTTGAAGAGTTATCCCTGCATCTGAGTTGATCGCTTTTGCTCTGACTAGCTAATTACAAACTAGGGTCATCATGGGAGCAGAACAACGTATTCTTAAGCACAATAAGAACGCGCTAGCAGGAGAAACCAAGGTAGTTCTCTGGAAACCATACAGCAAACTGGCGCAGCGCTTCCTTCAAAGACTTGAAGTTGGTACCCTTAATGTTCGTAACCCTAGGTGTTGGGTCCCAAGTACCCTTGTTGAGTGCCATATTCCATGGTTTAGGGACCCAAACCCAAGTGTACAAACCTTAAGGGTACAAAGAAAAACTCCCTGGTTCTTAGGAGCGTAGGTCTTAGTTGGCAGGTTGCTGAAATATGGAGCGCATCTTTCTGGAGTTTATCGGGGGAGCTTCCTCTTCAGAAGTACCACGTGATGTTTAAGCATCAACTCGAGAAGGGTGCCCGCAGGGATATATCGGGATGAGAGTGGCCTTGTGGCTTCCTGGGAGACTCCTATATGAGTGATACAAATGGTGGTCTCCCTGCATCTAGTCTCCAATGCTGTCCTGCATGGCTTACAGAACTGATATCGTCAGCCCAAACCCTCAGGTAATGAGGGTCATATTAAGGGATCTATATAACTAGATTATGAGTATCATCCAGCAGTTAATGGGTGCGGGCCTGTATCCAACCCAAACCCTTGACGCGCGTGGCACACCCTAAACTTGGCTTCACTTCTTGATGCAAGCAGTCCATCAGCAACAGTGGGATCTCTGCTTCCTGTTGAATGTCAAAGTGCAGGTCCCCGGTTAAACTCAAGCATGCTAGGGACCTTATGATGGCGACATAACTTTGAGAACAAAATAACACACGGGCCTGAACAATCGCCGGACCACTAGCTAGTATCATGTTGAAGTCTGTTTGAGGCACCCAGTATAACCCCAATATAACCCCAATATAACCCCAATATAACCCTAATATAACCCTAATATATACCCATGATACAATTCTATAAGGCACCTCAGACCCTGACATTGGTAAGTATTTAATTGGGAGTTTCTCAAAAAGGGGGGGCCCTAGGGACCCCAAGGGGTGTAGAGGGATTAGAAGGGGATTATATAGGGCCCCCTTAAGGGATTATATAGGGGTTATATTGGGAAATATCCAATTAGGCTTCTACATTCATCAAATTTTGGAGGCTGGAATATCTTGTATTTAGGTACTTGGAACTTGGACTCTCAGGGCAGGCCCAATACGCGCTTCGGGATTGACATGGAAAACTTGTAGGCACTTGTCTGACTGGATTGTAGTCTTTGCAGGGTTAGTTTGGGTGAATATGTGTGCGCTCCTGGCATAAAGTTATCAGGGAGAGGGTCTCGTGCGACACCCTGACCCAGACCATTTAAGCCCAAGTTACCAAATCCTGAACTAAACAAGTGGCGGTCTGTTGGGTCGGAATCAGCCTTCACAACTGCCAAAGCAGCTGTGGATCATTCTATCTGCAGGCTGAGAGACTGCCGTTTGCAAGCTGTAAAAGACCCTTTGTCCAACAGATCCTTTGCCACCTGAATTTTACAGCGGAAACAGTGCGAAAGACGGCACTTGCCCCAAAAGATGTAGCAGCTGTTCAAGATGACTGCCTTCTAGACGTCACAGCTTAGTCAGTGAAAGCACGCTCCCCCTTAATGACCCTTAAAGTAGTCCCCTACATAATCCCCATTCCACACCCCGACCCCTCTTCAAACCCCAGCATGCCTTCTTCAGCATGCCCTCGTACTTCAAGGGCAGGCCTGTGAAGCAGGGAGCTTGGCGATTGCGTGGTGGCTCTTTATATAGGGTTTAGGGTTTGGGGCGTGGTGTTTAGGGGTTTAGGGTTGAGAGTTTAGGGTTTCGGGGAGGCTTTCTAAAAATTGGGAGCCCTAATATAGACCCCAATAATTACGCTATAATCCCTTTTTAGAGACCCCTGGAAAGGAACCCAAATTTCTCAAAACATGAGGATAAACGTACAAAATTTTCACAGTCCGGACAGAGATCATGGAAATGCTAATGATCATGAAGGGACGGATAAAAGCGATGTTAGGCGCTACCCTAAGCCCAAAACCCTAAATTCTAAACACTAAATGGTAAACCTAAGCTCTAAACCCTATGGTTCGCAGAAACTCTTGCATGTCTTTTGAAAGTAGCAGTGCAAGTGTTGCACCACGCTAGAAGTCCGAGTCGAGAAACTTGACTTACTTGCAGATTATGAACTATATCGGTTCTATATGAGCCATAGTCCAAACTCCTTAACGGTGGTTGTATAGGGGAATATATAGGGGCCTATTATAAGAGTATTTAGGGGAATGCTAGGAGTTTCGACTAAAGCTAACACAGGAATATTCAAGGGGTTTTTTGTGTAGTTATAAGCCCAAGTTTAACCGGTACTCACAACTCAGTTATAACTGCATAACGGCACTTCGGGCTTGTGACTGGCTTGTCAGTACAGTTATCATTGCCCTGGACCTCCAAATGGTACGAAATGGAAAAAGGGATCCTCATGGTATCCAGTAGTGTCCATTTCCGCTTCCATTCCATCAAGCCCTACTAGAAACCAGCTAGATGAGTTTGCTGGGAGACTGACATGAATCTTTTAGCGCGAGAATAACCCCGAAACCTGCATCCGCAACATAATGCCAAAACGGAATCGTCAGAGCCTCTGAGGGAGCTATTGGACCTACATGGTCTGGGGTTATAGGGTCGAATTACAGTCTGCATGAGCTACAGTCAATATTTCCTGCATAATCTAACGGACACGGGTTCCTTATGAGGGGATAATATTGACAGTAGCTCGCATGA